GGCAGCGCCCACGGGTTTTGGGCCTGGCGTGGGGATGGCGGGGGCACCTCCTGCCCTCTCCGGCCTCTCAGCCCGAGAGGTCAGTTTTGGTAACGTGCACCAGCTTGGCTGCGGCCACCCACAACGTCCCTCCTGGCAGGGCGCTCTGGTATGTAAAAATGATGATTTTTTTGGAATCCCATCCTGCTGGGAGCGGCGACAATGCGTATGGCGGTGAAAGTTGGCCTTAATGCTCACGTACTGTAGCTTTGCCTTGGGTTAGGGAGCAACAGTAACTTTCTGTAATGAGAACAGCCTATAACACCCATTTATACATCAGTGTGCAAGCACAAATACCAAAAAACTAGTCTAATAAGTATACATGACGCTTAAAGTGTTCAAACACCCCAGAATGCAATACTGCTTGACAGTTCGGGTTCTGAGACAAAGGGCCAAAAACTGTTGAGCTTCATTTGTTCTGCAGTTTCAGCCTGGAGCTACCCTATTCATGGGAATGTTGGCAAGGAGGTAATTGGGATCGAGAATTGTCTTGGGCGTCTAAACAACTATGATAATCAGAATCCAACTAAATATTAAAGAGAGCAAACTCTTCCTTGTCAAGAGTGTGTGTTAACCCATAGATTCCTTTTAAGCACATGGTTCATGTTGCTTTCATCTGCTCCTCTGACTGACAGGGCTGTATGTGCCCCTGTAAATCTAAGCACCAGAGAAGGCACATGGTAGCTCTTTAGGCTATTCCCCAGTGCTCTGCAGTCAAAGTAATTAGCAGGGAGGCTCTGGTAGCTGGGCTTCACTGCAATGAAGTCAGGCTCACTAATGAGGCATTTTGCCTCCTGGTGGACAAGCGAGGATGAAGGACAGGCTCCCTGGACTGGACTAAAGTGGAGCTTACGGACTGCGCTGCACAGCGAGCCAAGATCTGGAACATGAAAGAGTCTGAAAGAGCCCTCAGCGGGATCCGAGCCCGTGGGGAAAATAAGCGAAACCCATAGGTAAACAAAGAGCCATTGTCCCGCCTTTTGCAGCCATCACGTCGTTATTGTGAAACACAATATTTATGGAAAGTGTGCTAGCAGCGTGCTCTGATTTATGGCGTAGAGGTCAAGAAAAATGCCTTCCAGACTCCTTTCAAATAGGTATCCCCCAAGTTCTGAATATTCCACAGCTCCCCAAGAAAACAGTATCTTTTTCTGAGCAGCCTCTTGTCAGGTCCCTCCCTCCCATTTATTTATTAAATGCCGTATCTTTTCTGTGGGCAAATCTGCGATACAAATGTGGTTTGGGCTTATCTATAACTTAGATATAGATTGGCAAAGACTATTCCAAATACAGACATCCTTTTGGCATTATAGATAAAGCAAGCTGCAAGTTCTGGGAGAAAAAGGACTACTCTGTGCTTGTGAGTGTACGTACCAGATTTTTTCACACTTTCAAATTACATAGCTAGACCAGTAAGGCTGTTAGGTGTGCCTACCAAAAAAAGCTCCATCCCTAGTTTCAACAGAATTTCTTTCCTCACAGTATTTGCTCCTTGTTCCAGCTACATAACTGAACTGCATAAAGTACATTTTTTGGACCATATTAATCACCTTTTTATGTGTTTCGTACCTAGTTCAGGAAAGAACAGAAGTAAAACATTAACTAAAAATGTCATGGATCAACAATATAATGGAGCATATGGAAACTTTTTTGTTTTCAATAATTTGAAAGATTATTTAGGTTTGCTGCTATATTCATTTTAGATTTTTTTGTTCTATTTTACTCAAATGTGGTGTTTGTTCTCCTAACTACATTTTTCCATCTTATTTTCTGTGAAACTGAAAAAGTGCTTTGTCTCCTGGCAAAGCATTTCCTTCTTTCAGGTAAAAATGATCCTGCCTTGCTTAATGGTCTCTTGGAGAAGGTTTTGGGAACAGAAGCAGCATGGACTCAAGTGCTTGGCTACACATTGTTTATACAAAACATCGTGAAGCTTAGAGAGAGAGAGATTCTCTGTGGTCACCAACCATCGTGTGGAGGTGGTGGCCCGACACGCGGCCATGCTGCTGTAAAGTTTTTGCCATGATTTTTTGAGGATGGGAAAGTTTTTTCTTCCCTGGCATATGACAGGAATCTTAATGCTATTCAACTTTCTCTGAAGCATACCATCTAGGCTGTTGTTGTGTTTCACACAAATGGATTCCTGCAAATATAGAGCTGCTTCAAGGCATGTAGCTTCTCTTAGATAAGTCTGCATTGATACAGAGGGTGGGTGGAAGACTACAAGTTCCCAGAGTATTCTGGCAGTTCCCTCACGTGGGACTGGTGTTTCGTTCTGGATTTTGAGCAACAGGGATTACTATCAAGAAATGATTATTTAAACCAGCTTCTTAAATAGACTTCTGTGTAATTTTCATATATCCTGCAGCTCTTCCAGGTATTTGAACAGCAAACACTTTCAAAATACATTTACCACAAGTAAATAATGGAGTTGCTATCTACAGTTAGCCACAGGTCCAACGTATCAGTTATTGCCTGCAATAATCACAGATTGCAGTGGTTCTCCGAGCCATCAGAAAGGTATAATTTGCATGTGCAGTGTTTTTTAGCAGCAGAATTGAAATGTGGAGGAGGAAGCCGTAAGGCAGAGGTATTCTGATTGAAAAGAGCAATTAGAGGGCAGCCTGTGGTCACAGCATCACGGCTGGTACAAAAAAGAGCCTGGAAGCCCGTGGCCTTATTCTTTCCTGCGCTGCAAGCACTGTGGTCAGCACCTGCAGCTGTAGCCCAATGTATCACTAAAGGATGTGAAGCTAAACACGAGCTGCCTTTGTACGCCTTCCCAAACCGGACTATTTTCTTTAATACACTGCAAACATTTCTCTGGCTAACACAACTTATTATTACGACATGTCAGGGCTTTTATTGCATCATCTTGGCATCAGCTGCAACAGGCAACAGAGTGCTCCCAAAATGTATCTTACACAGAAAACCAGAAAAAGATAGAAGAGGCAATTCCAGCAAAACATCTGTGATGACATATTCAGCCCATTATTTTGTCAACAGTGCAAGTATTTGATGGCATAATAAAAGGATACACTTTGCTTAGCAAAAACATTAAGGGATAACAGCCAAGTTAAATGGGGTGCGATTAAAGGTTTGCTTAACCCACGGGATTCCACTTCCAGAAAAATAAAAATAGAGCTGGTTTGATCCCTCCTTCCAAGTTCTATTTGTATGCTCTTGTTTGGGGGTTAAATAATCACTTTAAGAAAAGGGAGAATATTTTTTAATTTGTGTTTCATACTGAAAAAAAAAGAAGAGGTTTGTAAGTTAATCGTAATGGCAAGAAAATTCTGAATTGCAAAGGGGAAAAATCAAGCCCACCTGGGAGAAGAGATAACGGGAGTTAATCATGTGCAAACTGCTTGAGGAAAAAAGTGCACAATCCAGTTTAAAGCCTCAATTTAAATTATTCCTGTGCACTAATTTTCTGCTTCATTTTATTGACATAATCGATGCTATACTGCCACACGTCTTGGAAGTACACTGCAATGAGCGTATTGCCTCCTGATACGGGTTTTTTCAAATAAATAGCAAAGAAATGATAATTTATTACAGCATATTTTTCCCATGAAAGTTGACTTATATGTGTTTTGTGGGGTTTTTGGTGCTATGCTTCCTCTCTGCAAGCAAATACTGAATTCTAAAATCAAGTCAGTGTTACAGTGTCTGTGGCATATTGCTCCACTGGTGAGCTTGGCGTTCCGGTGGTATTTGAGAGTGTCCAGAAGAAATGTTTTTTCAGACAGACACGTAGCACAGATGGCCAAAGGCATCTATAGAAGTTACAACCATACGAAGTTTTCTGAAATATGTGCAGGAGTACATAGAGGAAAATACGTGTTGCCGGTTACAAACTCCAGGAATTTCTATAGCGTCCTACTTTCCAGAAAAGACGGTATAAAAAGAAAATAAAAATTGAGGCTTTTGACTGTCCATTAAAGTAAATTGTTATTGTAATTTCTGAGCAAATTTCCTCCTCGTGACAGCATGTACACTTTCTGACTTATACGGCAGGTCTTCGGAACAAAACTAAACCTTTTTTTTTTTAAGGGCAGCATAAATGTTGCACTGGGTTTATGTTGGGACTGTGGCACATGCCACTCAGAGCTATTTCCAATTCCAGAGTTTTAGAAATTAGTTATCTACCTTGGTGTTGGGGGTGCTGTAATAAAAGCCAAATGACTTGATGGAGGTGACAGAGAATGAAATTTTTGAGTCTGCAATTCAAACTCCAGAGTTCCTAAGCTAGAGAACTCTGACAGTAGCTGTATCAGATTTTGGAAAAAGTTCTGTTGTTTATATGAAACCTCCTCTATGTCAAGTTTTGTACAAGCTGAGCTGTCCCATAAAATGGAGACTAATGCTCTGTGAGAGGGTAGGGTGCCGTGCAGCCGTTCCAATGATAAATACCATAGATAAAGGCACGGTTCAGTTTTCCTGCAGGTAGACAATGCAAAGATCATGCCTCTGCCAGTGCAAAATACAAAGAAAGAAATAGCATTAGGTAAACCTTGTTTCCTGGCAGAAATTGCCATAAATTTCGCAGCTGGAAGTCCTGCACAGTGCCAAGGAAATCACCGAACAGGCACCTGATTTACGTTAGTAAAAATGAGCGCAGAATGGCTGTCATAGGTGTGTTTGTCTTTTCGTTTCTCCTTTCCCTGTGTTGCATATTATTCTTCAAGAATATAGGAGAAATTATTAAAGGTGATTCATCAAATTCCTTTAGGTTCAGGTTTAAAGGCGGTCTGACAAAATGGCACTATAACCTCCCCCGTTATTAGCGGTGGACGTGCCTTTCCTGCAAGGCTGCTTCAAAGCGACACGGTTCTTTACAAAAGAGAGAGCATGAAAATGTTTAAATTGAGTTTGTAATTAATTTATTTTTATCTCTCAGATTCTCACATCTGGTTAATAAACTCTTCAGCTTGTAATGGACTTGTGACAGTTCTGGGCTTCATGAACCTTGAATCTGAAGGTAAACCTCCTGTCACTGGGCACCTGTGGATTCTCTCTCTGACTATTTGTGCCCTTAATGTTGTCTGTTGCTATTCATAGTCTTTTTTATTTTATTTTATTTTCAGTCATGTGATGCAATGATCTAAGTTCAGTACTGAAGAGCCTGTTGGGCTGCCAAAGCCAAAAGACAACCTACAGCAATTCTGAGTCGTGGAAGAGACATAGCAACCTTTGGGATTATTGCTTAGCAACTGCAAACACACAGAGGAGTAAAACTCACAGCCCGGCTCCACAGCAGGTCTGAGAAATCCCTAATTCACTTTAAGATTTTTAATGGTTGAGAACAGATGGGCATATATTAAATTCCTATTCATTTGCAAAGCCACTTTGAAAGCAGGAGGAATAAGGTCCATTTTGATACCTGCTCCAAAGGTAAGAAAAACGGTTCTTCAAAGCTTCAGAAACCAAAAGAAAGATTTTAAATTTTATTTGTATTGAAAAGAAGATCATGTATGAAAAGGGTATTGGGCTCTTTGTGACTGGTGAGATAAACATGCTCTATGGAGCATGTTAGGGAAAGGCAAAACTTTCTGAGCCATAGAGCATCAAGGAGATTGGACTCTGTATTTGAAAAGACTTTTGTAACTCAAGCATCTCCAAAATATTTGCCTAGACAAACTTTAGTCTTTCCTGGCCCTATCCCACCCATCAAAATCCCCTAACAGAACAGCAAGGAAACCATAAAAATCTTATTTATGAGCAGATTTGTGTTTTGTACAGAAAACGGAGAGATAATCTTTTTGTACCCGCAGGGATTCCAGCAAGAATATTTCTCTCACAGAAAAGGAGCCAAGAAAGTGGCATCCTACTAAATAATGGAAAGCTTATCTTGCCTTCAGCTTGAACAAAGGCTTACAGGAAACTTTATATCACATTTCAAGTTTCCTGGGTGTTTCTAAAGCTTGTCTCTCTGCACCATGCTTACTATTATTTGGACAATCAAGCGTCCACTTGGGAATGTCATAGGTCACGAGAGCTCTATATGTTATGGGCCAAATTCTCAACTAATGTAAATCAGCACCGAAGTTTATGAGGCAATGGTGGCTTATACAAACTGGAGGTGTGTCCCTGTAATCCTTGACAAATTCCAGGTTTCAGGGCCTGGTTCTCGCACTCCTTTGTTGTTTATTTTAACAATTATCTGCTGTTTCTATGTTCTTCCCCACCCTTTTAGTCGTCTTTATCTGTCCTGCATTAAAGCAGTGGGCATAATTCTCTGCTTCTGTTCTTGGGATTATGCGAGCGCCATGGAATTGAGACAGAATAGTTGCACTTAGTTGTTTTTTGTTTTGTTTTGTTTTGTTCAGAGACATAGAGATATTTCATAAATGTTTACCAATCCTCAAAATCATCCTAAGGAATGGTTGAGAGCAGTGTAGAAAATATATTCATCACCATTCAGAATCAGCCACCTCATAAAGCAGAGTGCAGTTGTCACTTTAACATTGCACAGGAACTGCAGAGCGGTTTCATAAAGGATGTTAAAAAATAACATAAGTATTTGAAACTGCAAGAACAGTTTATTTTGGCACAACAAAACCAGATGACTTGGAATGTGACCAGAATATTTGGTTAACACCCTGCTTTGAACCAGAAAAAGTCTGGGTTTACAGCTTATTGAACGAAACTCACCTAAGCAAGGAACAATTTGACAGAGTTGACAGGTTTCCTTTTCTACCATTATAAATCCGGACTCATTTACGGCCCATGTCCTTCAGTGGCAAAACCGGGTACCATCTTAAAACCCTCTGTGTGGGTCAGGCAGGCAGCAGCTTGATCTGTAAATCCATCTCAGTCCCCAGCAGGTAATCATCTTTGAAAACAAATTACCAGAAGATGCCAACAAGGCCATCGAGAAAACAGGCATAGAAATTTAATGCTGTGAAGCATCCTACCTATCCGAGCTGTATTTGGACTCATACAATGGTTAGGAACCAGAAGGTCAGCATATTAGTAATTACACTGGTGTGCCAGGAGGGCTGTAGATCACATTGATGCATTTCCTGGAAGGCTGAACTCTCTTCAGAACAGCTACAAATGCTTAAATACGAAGAGCAAAACATATCAAAAGCAACAGTATTGCTATGGAGACTGCAAGGCCGTAGTGAAAAGCACTTATAAAAAAGAGTTTGAAAAGGATAATGTGGCCGTAAGTTCAGAGTGGAGTTTCATCTTTAATTTGGAAAGGCATTAGGCTCTCTCCATTATCACCCTTCCCTTGCTGTTGTTTAACACTGAGCTGGGGTTTTTGCAGCATGCTGGTGATTTTTCATGCTTTGAATCGAGTAGTTAGGCGGCAATCTGCTCCATTCTGTATGTGTAAGTCCCATTACAGATGCAGACAGTTATGTGTGGAGACACACAGCAATAGTTTCAAAGTGTGCTTTGTGAGCGACTCCATTTCTTCCTGCTATTTCACAGAATTAACATTTTGAGAAGAAAACAGTGGAGTTTGGGAAATTGTAAAGGGAGATATCTGCAACTCTCTGTAGGTTTTTCTTTTACAGAAAAATCTACAAGATTAAATGCTTGTGAACAGCTTAATTACAGAGTTCATGGTATAGAGTTTCCCATTCTGTAGGAGCTCTGCTGACCCATACACCCGTGTCCTCGTTACCTTAACAAAATGTCCAGAGGAAAAAACAGATGAAATTAAGTAGTCTATGGGACAGGCTTCCTCACTGTTTTTCACAGCTACAGAAAAGATGAAGCAGAAGGCAGCGTGTAGAGAAACCTGGCTCCTAGGCATCTGGTACTTTCCATTACTTGCTTCCTTTGTCTCATATCCATGGATTTCCTGGAGCCGTGGAATGGGACCTAAACAGAAATAATGGTACTGGGGGTAAGAGGAGTCCACTGGTTAGAACTGGGGGACAAGACTTCCGAGCACTGTTCAGCACTTGGTTTCCAAGTCTGTAAGTGACCTGGAATTAATCACTTCTCTTCTGTGTCTCAGTTTCTTCTCCCGTAAGAAAGGAACACACTTATTTAGTGTCTCTGTCTCCAAGGGCTGTTGTGATACATAATTAATCTTTATAAATCATTTACTGATCTTTGAAGTAAAGGGGCTGTATTTATTTAAGAGTACAAAGCAGCAGTAACAGAATAGAGAAAGGAACATAGAAAAAGAATATTGGTTAATTCCTAACAATAGACTTTCTTCCCGTGACATGTGCTAGGACACTGCTGCATCTTTTGGCATTATATAACATGCTGCTTTTGTTCTGTGCCACAGTGGTTGACTTATGGCTGCTCAGCCAGAAGCAGCAGCCCAAACTGCAGGTGTGAAACCACCCAAACTTGGAGGCAAGACTGTGACTGCCACGGAAATGAAGAGAAATCAGGGGAATGATGAGCTGC